TACAAATTTAAAATTTATTCTTGCGCAACGTTTCGGTCATGAGATGTGGTTCTCTTCAGGCGACGTTCAATACAATCAATGATGGTCAACACATTACATTCCTTGTAGTTGTTATAAAAGTTAAAAAATGAGATGTGAGTCACACTACCAATAGTTAAGAAACCCGTCACATCAGTGTTCGTAAGCTGTGACAAAAATTTTAAATTTGTATTATTTATTTGATTTGATTTTGTAACGTTTAACATTGATGTGTTTGGCTCTTATCGTCCTGAAGACTCACTTATTAATATATTTAGATTATTAGAGCCGTTTTATTATAATTTGTTTTATTAGTAAATAACATATTTATTTATGCCGATGTAAAATATTCTTTTCAAATAAAGAAATATATATTATTTTAGAACCTTAAGAGAAAAGCTTAGCTTTTCATGAAAGCAATAATTTACTTTCTCTACTTACATAAGAAAAAGTTGCAAAATATTTTTTTTAAATAAGAAAACATACATTTTCTGAGAACCTTAGCTTTCCATGAAAGTAATTATTTACTGTAATTAAATAAAAAAATTTATATTTAATTAAATATGTTATTAGTACCAAATAAATATTTACTATCTTTTAGATATATTTTCCTCCCAGTGTAGGCACGGATTAGTAGTCGTTATTTGAAACTTGTCTCACATGAGATACTTCTAAACCGGAATTTAGAGCTAGATCTGAGTTTTATAATTGAATCATGTGATACATATGACATTATGATATTTGTAATCGTGATTCAACTGGAAAATTCACACCTAACTAAATTTAAATCTGAACACCTCACTTGAAACAAGCTTCAAGTAACGACTATTAAATACCCTCGGTCGTTGTCACTCAAACTCATTATGTATTCGCAGATATGCAATGCAAAACTTTGATGATTTTGGTGGACACAATCGTTCCCGCTCGTTTATCATGTGTGAAATCGGGATTTAAAAGTTTATGGGCACTCTCTATCTCACGTAGAGAGCCGTCGAATTTTAACGAGACGTTGAAGTGTGCCGACCTCAAACGCCGAGGTAATGACATCTTTCCGCAAGGCGAGTGTATACGCATACGACAACGACGTGGATATTTAAATAGCGACTATAAACCGGCCGGTGAACCGTGGCCACTTTAATGCCGAACGCTAGCACGACAAATATTAACAGCGCGTATTACGAAAGGCTCGTAAAACAAAACGCGCGCGTACCGGTGCGTGTAGATGAGTACGCACGTAAGCCGAACTTCGACCGGTCGAACTGGCTCTAAAGAGTCATCAGGAGAAACGGCATTTGCATAAAAATGCCATGCTTTCCTGTCGCCGCGAGGCAACGAATGTATATTAAAGAATAATATAAGAATAAATATGCAAAACGAAATGCACACGAAAGAGCGAATAAATATGTGTGTGTATATATATATATATATATATATATATATATATATATATATATATATATATATATATATGTATATAAATACAGGGTGTCTGACAATTATTGACACACTCGTTGTGTGCAGGTAGTACTCATCGAACTGAGCACAAAATTCCTCTACCATTTTACAAACAACCCGAGTCGTAATTTTGACGCTACTTTAACACTCCTAAAAATAGTTTGAGCGTATTTAGATAATCTACAAAATAGGTGAAACTTATTTTAACGATATGGACACTCATTTCCGAGTCGAAATTTTGACTCTATGTTGAATCTTAAATTCTACATCACAGTAAGAGCTAAGATAGCAAAGTAGATTTAATTCTAGTGATATAATTTACTCCTATTTTGATCCTGATGATGTTTGAAATATATGCAACAAATAAAATGTATATTTTGTATGCTATTTGACGTTTATGTTTCGTTATTTATTAAATTTTTTTAATATTTCTATAAAATACATATATTCTATGTAGGAGCTAAAGTTTCAATAGAGGTTCGCAACTGAACCTACTTGGCTTCCTAAGATTCTACTATTATACAACCTACTTTGACGCTAAAGAAAGCGAAAGCGGAAATTTTAGACATCATCAGGGTCAAAGTAGGAATAAATTATATCATTAGAATTAAACCTACTTTGCTATCTTAGCTCCTACTGCGGTGTAGAATTCATAGTTCAATATAGGGTCAAAATTTCGACTCGGGAACCACGTAAGATTTTTAGTTATTAATGAAAGAAGATTTGTGAACGTGTAATCGGCTGATGAGCTGTGATGACGATCTCTGCCGCTGCATACTTATACATTAGGCCAAACTGAACAGAAGTCTTCTACCATTTCGCAAAAGATCACGTAAATATTTAGTTATTGATTACAAAACATTGTAGTACATTATTACGCGCAATTATGCACTAATCTTCTTTAATTAGTAACTAGAAATCTACGCGGTTATTTGCAAAATGTTAAAAAGCTTTTATTTGACCTAATGTACAAGTGCACGATAACTGACACAGCCATCTCATTTTACATGGTTGTTTGCTAAATGGTAGAGAAATTTTGTGTTAAATTTTACGAGTTCTACACACAACAAATGTGTCAATAGTTGTCAGATACTCTGTATGTATGTAAACAAGTGTGTGTGTGTGTGTGTGTGTGTGTGTGTGTGTGTGTGTACTGAGAGAAAAAAAATTTAAGAAATGAAAAATACTTATTCGTAATGGCTACTATATATAGTATTAAAATAAATATTTTTTTATTTCTTAATATTTATATATATAACACATTTACTTTTATTAATATAAAATATTTTTTCAAATAAGAAAATATAAATTTTCTTAAATAAACTTTATCCAAAGATTTATATAAATTTTTATATAAACTCAAATAAATATTTCTGTTTAAATAAAAATATTTAGATTTCAGTAAATATGTTATTAGTGCCCAACAAATAAGTTTTTATTTTTTAGATATATTTCCTCTTACACACACAATGTAAAGATTTCTTAATCACACACTATCGTTGTGTGGTATTTTAATTTATTAATTTTTTAATTTATTTTAATCCACTACGTTAGATTTACGAATTTTAGCATTCTGTCCCACACACGTGCTAACTCAGTCGACAATAATAATAAAATTGTACTCAATTCTTTCCTCAAAACTATGCGCTATAGCCAATCGTTGACAAATTAATTCTTTCTAATTCCTTGTGATCAATCTTGTGATCTAATTTCTTCAATAAATTAAAAAATGATTTTTTAATTTAATAATATTTAAATCGCACAGAAATCTGCAGCGCGCATATTGGAGCTTAATCACAGCGAAAAACCCTAGGATAACAATGCCGTGACCGCGCAATAATTTTCGAGTCACAAACAGTTCAAACTGACACTGAAGCCACTGAAGCCACGTAGAATTTCAGGTGACAGATGACAGTCGCGAAATTTACGCGACATCGCGAAAAACTGCAATTACCTCGATATTTTCGCACTGAGATTTTGTACAGCGTTTTAAATAGCAACGCGCATTTCGTTTGAAATCAACGCAGTTCGCTGTCATATATACACTACGTAATGTGATACTCTGCGAGTATTGAAATTCAACACTCACCATTTCGCGCTGCGAAGTCCAGCGATGTCCAGCCAGGTCCACCCACGTTCTCTCCATCCAGCCAGGTCCGCCGACGAAATTAGCCGCTGCATCCCGACCGGCGCATCAGGAACTCCACCATGTCCGTCCGTCCATCCTTCGTCCCGCGTTGATTGCACTTCACTCGCGTCGCGATTATTAATGCGTATCTTAACGACGTATGCGGAGTTAACGACGGCGTCGATGAAAAGTTACGGTTTACCTCGGAACGGAACTTCGATTAACGAAAGATAAACCTCGGAATCCGCGGGCTCATTTAACGCATGTCTGTCGCGGCGAGATAAATTCCGGCACTTCGAGAACATACTCGCAGCCCGATAAATTCCAATACCTCGGGGGAACTCATTCGCGCCTCGCGCGCGAATCGCTTGTCAAGAAAAAAAAGAAACATCGCGAGCGAAAGATGAACCGTGACGATTGTAAGATCAACTCGCCTAAATTACTTGGCGAGAAAGGTAATTGCGAGATGCCAAACTCGCAACTCGGTTGATACCGTTACGCTGCACTGCCCCGCGATGTATTGCCGCGGCTTGATTTCGCAATATTCAAGTTGATATAATAACATTCATATTTATTTGCAGGATTTAATCGCGATGTAAAAGCACTTTGGAAGTCTAAAAAATTCACGATCGCGATAATCGGGAAATTAATCACCGAGCGAAATAATCGCGAGTTCTGCAATGTGATGGCGCAATTTCGATGCGCATTGTGCACTGCATGAAACATTCAGCGGATCACGTTGAATAAATAGTTAAATAATCGTACAGCTTCAACTGGATGAAACACTAGATACAATTGGATATAACAATAAATAATCGAAACATCATATTTATATTACTCTGTGAGGAAAGGAAATAAAAAATACTTATTCGCGGTAGGTACTAATAACATTTCTTACGTAAACTAATATAAAGTAATTTTCAAATAAGAAAATATATGTTTTCTTAAAACCCCTCAGCTTTTCACGAAAGCTGTGGCTTATTTTATTTATAAATAAAAAAGAATTTAAATAAATATTTTATTAGTAACCACCACACGCAAATAAATTTTTTTTTATTTTGTAGTTGCATTTTGTTTTTCCTCTCAGTGTATATTTATCAAAAGCTAAGATTAGATATTAAAATGATTGATTCAATACTATAAGTGTTAAATATCTAATAGTCAAAGCGCTCTAGTAGATGAAACATTTTTTTGAAGAAGTGATCTGCTGATTGCTTCGTGCAACATATTTTACTAGACAGCACACACATATAAAGCTATAAGTAGAGCAAACGGCATTGATTTCAACGACTCATAAATATCCACCACTTCGCATCTCGTTATATCTTCTCATATTAATGAGAAGTATCAATTTCTCATAAGTCCAGAAACCTCCGTATTGCTGATTTTAGTCGACTCACTAAAATATTCGGACGTCAGGGCCGGCCGCGTTCCGCTTTCCGAACTGGAGCAAAAAGATAAAGTTTCGCGGATTAGATTTAAGGCTGGATTTGAACGAACAAGTGCGCGTAGACAGAGATAAAAAGAAAGAGAGAGAGAGAGAGAGAGAGAGAGAGAGAGAGAGAGAGAGAGAGAATGTTGACTTTATGCAATCATAATTCAATGAATTTTACTCAGACAATTATATTTGAACACTCGACCGCAAAGGATTAAATGAAGGAGGACGAGAAATTTGGAAGAGCTTACCTTCAAGCCGACCCTGCTATGCCCGAACCGGATCCTCCGGTGCGGCATCCTCCGGAACAGCATCTGCCCGTATGGTATCACAAACTCTGCCGGATCTGAAAATGTTGTTCCTGATTAGTTATAGCGGCAGAGAAATCTCTCAGCTTCAATGGATCGAGAATAAGCGCGTACTCCGTACAGAGATTAGGTTATGCTAGATTAGATTGGGATTAAGAATAGAAGACACGACTGCATGTTTCTGCTTGAAATGCAGCAAGAACGAAAGCTCACCTCTCAAGTTTCAGGTGCTCCCATCGTTCACGAGATTACTGCCGTCACGATTACGGTCGCGAAAAGTGCCGTAATTTGTCTCATGAACGCGCGGAATCATTCTAGAAAACCCGGAAATAGCACGCTCCGCCTCGAGTCACTGGGCTGTAGTGGCCGTTTTCTTTGTGTTGTGTTTGTGTTTGTTGTTGTTTCGCGCGATCGCGCGAAATTCGAATGAATGATTTACTGGCTTCACAGAAGCTGTTCCACATGTCCTCCTTCCATTTCCATACACGCTTGGCATCTTCTTTTTACGCGAATTTCTTGATTAGAGTAATACGCTGTCATTTTTATTAGACCTTATAACTGTAATCACCAAATAAGATCCGCAATCACCGGTTGATGACATCTGACTGATTGCCAGTGAAATCTTCTGTTATGAAGTATGTACGGAAATTGAATGAGGACATACAGAATGTGGTTCATAAACATTGAGGTAAACATCGCATAAACCTAAGTCATTCATGTTGCTACCATACAAAAATGTTTATATCTCAGAAACGGTTTAGCTTTCGACCTATGTTCACTAAGGTCTTTTTACTCAGTATGGTGTGTACTATCTACCATATAAATGCTGAATTTTTTTTGGAAACACCTTGTATATACTCTGTGTTTTAATATATTGAGATACTTCACGCTACACGCGAGAATCTTGAATCATTTAATTCTTTCGATCCCACTCTTCTTCTAAGAAATTTCAAATATGTGACAGCGAATGTCAAACATAACGATAACGATTATACGCATACGTTTTTGCATACGTCGAGCAACTTACTAAGATCTTAAATTTGTGTTAAGACTACAAAATGTCAAGCAGAGAAATATGCATACCTTCGAGTCGACTCTGCAATGTCCGAACCGGATCCTCCGGTACGACATCCTCGTCACTGAAACAGCATCTGCACGTTTGATCGCAAACTCTGCCTGATCTGAAAATGTTGTTTCTCATTAGCTATAGCGACAAAGAAATCTCTCGGTTTCAATGAGTCGAGAATGAGCGCGTACTCGATATAGAGGTAGGGTTAGGTTAGGATTAGGATTAAGAATACAAGACACTGTATGTTTCTGCTTCAAATGCATCAAGAAAGAAAGCTCACTTTTCAAGTTTCAGGTACTCTCATTGCCACCGTCATGATTACGCTCGCGAAGTGTCGTAATTTGTCTCACGAACGCGCGAATCATTCTAGAAAACCCGGAGATAATGCGCGACGCGTCCCGCTTCGAGTCACAGGCTGTAGGCAACGTTTATCGCATTTCTCCGAATGGAGCAATATTGAGCAACTCAATAAAATACAAAACAAAGAGCTTTTAGATTAAAATCAATAAAGATAAAATAAAAAAGGACAATATGAGTCTATTATATATATATATATATATGCTCACACATATACACGGTGGGCCATTTTACGGGACCCACCCAAATTTCTCCATAGGTAAGCCAGATATAGAAAAATAGTTAAGACAAAACTTGTTCAGGACAATGGGGGTCATCTTTCTCAATAAATGAATTTGACCTTGAGGTCAAATTTCAAGGTCATTTGGAGGTCATAGTAATTTTTTTAAATGGGACCGCCTACTTTTGACACCGGATTCGAAGAGAACGGGAAATTTTACGTCAGAAATGATATTTTTAAATTTTTTATTTTGACCTTCAGAAGGTCAAATCAAGGTTTTAAAAGCGCTCAGAAGCTGTTTGTTTAAATGCGATTATCTTACTTTTAGCATTACCCAGAAACAACAACGTGGACATAGTAAGTTCTGTTTCCTTTGGGGTGCTTGATTATCGTGAGTCCCCTTGTCTCTCACGTTTGGGGTGCTTGTTTACCGTGAGAGGCAAGGGGACGCAAACAAGCACCCCAAACGTGACTGGGTAATGCTAAAAGTAAGATAATTGCATTTAAACAAACAGCTTCTGAGCGCTTTTAAAACCTTGATTTGACCTTCTGAAGGTCAAAATAAAAAATTTAAAAATAT